TTCTCCATAAATCACTAACGCTCCCGGGCGATCTACGAAACTCTAGAACAATCAGCGATATTCCCATCACTTCCCCAATCAGCCGGGACACGCTAGCTTCCTTCATCAACTCTAACACTGGTTAGAAATTTCATCACATTTCATATGGTTACCAATTTCCTGACCGGTAAAGGTCTATCTCCTTGCCCGAGATATCGCTTGACTTGCTTGTGGCTCCGTTAGTGCGCTATGACTGTGATGTGGTTTAATAATACGTGATACTTATAGATTTGTGTTCTAAGCTTTTCTGGGGGAGCGGGAGGTATTAACACGGTGTCTCCTAATCGAGCGAGAGTGTAGCAGCCGGTATCACAGATAGAGAGAGACCATTTTGGCTGCCCCAGACGGTTGGAGACAGAGATGTAATCTAGCACCAAATAAAATTTCCCCAACGGCAAACGACCTTAGTTACTACTGCACCTCTAGGAGGGACATAATAAACATTTCAAATAGCACCGGTTTGTCAACTAGCCCTCGAAACCACCCCTCTCCTGGTCAAGATAAAGTGTGGGTTGGACACTCCGGTGGGTTAGGAGGGCTTGTATCAGAAACGGCTCCCCTACAACAACAACCGATAGGAAAGCTAAATGTGCCAGATACCTCCCTACTTTAATAGCCCTTGTCGCCGTCAATAGTTTGCGCAGGCTATCAGGATACCTAGTAAAGGCTCCGTCCGATCTTACCAGGTGTTAGGAAGCTGATCCCCGGAACGCTCGTCCATGAAAAGTTTTTCACAGGCATCGGAACATAACACCTCAGGCTGTTCACCGCCCGGTATGTCCATTAATTCAGATGTCATACTATACGGCAGCCTCAAGGAGGTATGTATATAGTGATGGCAGGCATCGATAAAGCTTCATATCTCATTTGTGAAAAATTTCCCCACCGCGACCAAAGACACCTGGCGAACCCTATTGCAAACTTGAAGTTTACATCATGCAAGCTTCTCTTCAATAGACGTATCTAGTACAACTCAATTGGGGTTCGATAACATTGGTTCGTTCTTTCGTGCAATCAATTGTTCGCTACTCTCTTTAGTATTCATTCCCCAACCCTAAACCAACCCTCTACTAAACTAGGTTGCACAACCACGAAACCAAGATGCTCATTCCTCTCCCTCTTCTTGACTCTGTGCCTCACCTCCGCCAACCCCACCCTCCCTCCAAATCCCAACTTTCCCTCTCAGCCCCAACAATCACCAACGGGGCGGGACTCGATCGCGGAGACCGATATCCCGGGCACGCACGGCCCCACCTCGATCATTGACAGTACCGAACCGGTCACACTCGAGGGCCCTCCGACGGTTGGCGACGCATCCTATATATGCAAAAGGCAGGGACAAGGTGTACTGCTGCTCACAGGGCCCTCATGCGGTGCACTCGGGGGCGAAGATGGCGTGTAATGTGATTCTGTACCACGAACCCAGTGCTCCCAGTCGTCCAGTCCGACTGCCGTCGCCCCGTCCAGTGCGTCCAAAGACGAGACATTCTCGTCTTCCGTCGTCCCGACCCCGTCTGGGACGGACGGGACGACTGGAAGCGCTGACATTGGTGGATCTACCGAGTAAATACGGTATTGTCAATTCCACTAACCTACCAGGCTAAACCTATCCTGGACTAACTTGCGTGTCATGACTGATACTCTGATGGCTGATTTCAAGAGTTTTATGTAAGTGGCCCTGCTGAGGCCATCCCGTACTGGGGTGCCTAACCTTGGTATACAGGCCCGAGGATATGTACTCGTGCCAAAGTTGTGACATGTCGTCACAACCCCCGCTGCTCGTTTTCTCGCAAATGGGGGCACTCATACTGAGTGCCCAACAGTTCAACGTGAGTGGACGGTTCAACGTGAGTTTGTGGCTCAATGGTAACTTGTGGCTTGTGGTCAGGAACCTTCGATTGATACAACATCTAATAAACAGTCATTAACTAAGTGCCTTTTTGAAGAAGTGAATAGCCAAGATTTAATTTTCCTATGCTGAGCTATAAAATAACGTTGAACTGTCTACTCACATTGAACTCTCGGGCACTCAGTATGAGCGCAGCCGTTTGCCAGAAAACGAGCAGCGGGGGTTGTGACAACATGTCACAACCTTGACACGAGTAAAGTTTGTTTTCCTCTTCTCCCTTCTTCCCTTCTTCTCCCTCCAATTTTCTCCTTCCATCTCGTTCTATCGTAGGTTGCCGTCTGCCACCG